GAGGGGGGCGCTGACTCACCCGGCGCGTCACTGCTGGTGTGTGGGGGGTGGCTCGGCTTGGCGCAACATGTCACAATATGCTGCAGTGGCTGGTGTGTGTTGTTGGTTCACCAGTGAACTATGAAAGTGTTTCATTTACAAGATTGTGTATAATATATATATATACAGTGGAACCTCACTTAACGAGCACCTCTCATAATGAGTAATTCACATAACGAGCAAAACAAATTGTAAAAAAATGACTTGCTTAATGAGCAATGTTTTGCATAACGAATAACGAGAGGAGAAGTCCTGGATTGTGCACTTGCTACATCAGCCTGTGTTTAGCACTCGTTCTGCTATCATCTTAATGTCGCTTGTGATCACACATTTTTCCAAACATGTGTTCAGACATATTATTTGTGATTTTTTTTGTGCAAGGTTTAATAACCCTTGCAAAAATGTCCCCGAAGAAAAAGCAGCAAAAAGACAGCCATAAGAGAATAAAAATAACCGTAGAAATGAAACATAACATCATTAAAAAGCGAGAACGAGGTGTGAGCATGGCTGATCTAGCACACACATACAATCGGTCTACATCAACGATTTGCACGATTTGGAGTTGCATTGTGTGTCACAGTAAGAAGTTGTGGAGGAGAGTTTGTCAGAAGAGGAGGAGGCGGTAACAGCAAAGTAACAATCTTCTGGCACAATAAGAGAAATGTTGAAAGCATGGGAAACTGTTGCATCATACACTGAGAAGCATCACCCTAATAAGGCAGTGGCTATGTGCGCTACAAATTTATTTAATGATAATGCTCTGTCGCATTTTCACCAAATTTTGAAGCGTCGGCAAAAACAAATGTCTCTAGACAGTTTTCTAAGAAATTTACAGTTCTAATGATTTTTTTTATAATGAAGTCCTCACTATAAGCCATAGTCTACCATGGTTTTACTGCATCTAAATAATGCTGTCATGCACAGTTCACAGGTAAGAAATAATAATGTCTGCTTTAAATGTAACAGAAATGATCTCATTTCACAGAACACATTCCCAGTGTTAAGTGAAGCGAGAGTCTAATGCATCAGAATGTTCTCTCCAAATTTTTAATCCATAAAATGAGAAACCATTTCCACTCACCAGCCATCCTGTGTGCCATGTCTCATCGTGATCATGCCTGAATCTTCATTCAGCTTGAAGTGAGGATGTTCAGCCCCTTCCCAATAGAACTTCTTGTCAGGTAGATCCCAATCATCTAGATCATAAACATAAACACGCCCAATTTCTGTGTCTGGTGCTTGACCCTGTTAAACATAAAAATTAAAACAATTAAACATAACTAGGGACATCATATGAATTATCTCTTATAACTATCCCTGCACACAGTATAAAAGCAATTTGACATGACAGTCCACAACATCAGTTTACCAATTTTCTGTCTGTTAATTTTGTTTGATACTGGGAATACAAACTGGACAATTAGCATCCATTTCAGTGAACACCATTTTACCATATGATTTTAAAGCCCTTATTTTCAAAATGTCCATAGATTTCAATAGATTTTCTTGATAATTAAAATATACAGTTGATTATGACATAAGAAAGTGACACCCAACAGCAAATCTTGCAGCAAGTACTACCTTACTCTTAGATTACTTTACATACAAATATATATTTTTCTCTGAGATATGATGTTTTCATGACAGTGAAGGTTTAGACTGTGGTTTTCTGAGTTGTGACACTATACAGCCCTCTGGGTGATTACTGGTATTTTAGAGGAACCTGTTGCTTCCACCTGCAAGTTAGAATTATAGATGGTGGCAGGAGGTTCCTCCATAACTTTCACAAACATCCATGTGGGTATAAAATGTTATAAGACAGAATACCATTCACAATTACATGTATTTCCATTTTTGCTAGCATATTCTGACCAGATGTGAAGCCAAGCCAGTCTTCTGTCATGTTTACAATATTATATTTCAGCATCCTGTTACACTCACACAATATATATGGACAAATTTTCACACTATAAATCACTCCATGCTAATATTCTGTCGTAACTACAATTAATTCTTACAAGATCACCTAACTATTACATACAAAATTATGTCTTCAATGTCTGTTAACTATTCTGCTGTCTTCTGAATTCTCCTCATCCAAACTCTCTCCTGGACTGACCCCTCAGCTATTCTGGAACTGTTTATAATTCTTTGGCATGGACACCACAGGAAACAGAGCAAACGTATTAAAGATAAGCGGCGACACACACAGAGAGCGCCTACCCTGAACAACACATGAACAGCGATAAAAACAAGAAGTGGCCACTGCAACACCGTAGATATAGGGCATGTACCCTGAATACATTTTAATTAAAAATTTTGAAAAAGAAAGAACAGAGATCTTATAGACATTTTAACTTGAATTAAAGTTTTAAAAAGTGCTAATTTAAAAATCAAATCGACGCGTGTAGATTAACAAAGATTTTATACAATTAGAAAGACTGGTGATTTTAAATTTTAACAAGCAGTGTAACAGCTACGTGAGTGATACACACCTGATGATGGCCATTTAGGGCCGAAACATGTAGTGCGGAGGAGGAAAAAGAAGCAAAAACTACAATAAAATTGTTGCACTTAAGACAGTATTTGTCCATATATACTTCTGTCATGTGTTTCAGTGATTAATATGGGGTCTGGATTGGTGAATCGATTTACTGACCATTCCCAAGTTATAAGTCAAGTAATTATAACACTGTTGCTGATTTTCACACTATAAATCACTCCATGCTAATATTCTCAGTCGTAACTACAATTAATTCTTACAAGATCACCTAACTATTACATACAAAATTATGTCTTCAATGTCTGTTAACTATTCTGCTGTCTTCTGAATTCTCCTCATCCAAACTCTCTCCTGGACTGACCCCTCAGCTATTCTGGAACTGTTTATAATTCTTTGGCATGGACACCACAGGAAACACAGTTGTACTATTGCATGGCACAGACCACAGAGAAAACACATGTAATGTGATCACTACCCAGCAAGTTCACTGGCGCACTGACTGGACCTACAGAAAACACATGTCACGTGATCGCTAAGCACTACTGTGGTGACATCACTGCGCCTGCACAGATGCAAGGACACAAAGAAAACACTGCTGCTGTATTGTTGGCCATGTGTCTGTTGCAGGGGTTGCTTAGCAATGGATTTACATTTCACCCTTCTAATCAATGGGTACCAGACTTCAGGAGTAAAAGAGCTGAAGTGTGAAGATGACCACTCACCTGAATCTAGCACTAAAGTTAAATATAGGTGAGCTTCAGTTCCATGCTCCCATACATTTTCATGTTGTATCACTCAGGCACATGAACAACTTTACCTTTATTTTATGCAGGAGTACACAGTTCAGTCCTTGAAATAATATAAGAAGTAACTCAATTTTATATTAATTGTAACTAACACTGTAACAATAATTAACTTAACATCATACAACTCACCATATAGTTATAAACAAATATGTCTTTGGTGCCAGGCTGCATTTTATTGTCATTAACGTCTCCAATGACCACAGTCAGAGTGCTTGTGCCTGACATTGCAGGATTTCCTGAATCCTTAATTACAATTGGGATGAGATACTCTTTTTGTTGTTCACGATCAAATGACCTGAGGGAAGTCACAACCGCCATGCCATCCCCATTAGCTCCCTCTGTAAGATAACAAAGGATATGCCATAAGGATATCACATTATGAATATGCATATATACAAGGGGAAGTCAAAACATAAAGGCAATTTACAGCATATGGAAAGTGATGTTGGCAGCACTGAAAAACTCAGCAGATACAAACAATATGAACCTTGCCCCATTTGTACCTGGTTGGTTTTTCATTGTATTTAGATAAGTGATAATGTTTTGTGACAAGTTCAAAATGGCTGCTCCAGTAACAGACCGCACCTATGAACAATAAACTATGAGCTGATTTTTGTGGTCAGAGGGTGTGAAAACTAGTAAAATTTATGAAAAATTGTCAGTTGAATATAGACCAGAGAAAAATTTACAAACAGGCGGAAATATGATGATTGCTGAGGATGATGAAAGCTCAGAGCGGCCATGTAAAGTGTTAACTTTAATAAGCATATCTATCAACATCTCTGAACTACAGAAAAATAGACAATGATGAAATTGCATGTGAAATCAATTATTAATAGATCTGAAGGCACTGTGGATAATCAAAAGATCAGACAATCTGCTTATGAAGAACAACCTTCTACATATCTTTAAACCCATCAAACATGAAATTAATAAGAGACAACAGGAAAATATATTTTGAATTCTTACTCTGGTCATGTTCAACTTTGAATGAAGCTCTGATGATATCATCTGCATTGGGATCCATCCTAAATGTGAAAGGTGGACCATTGCTCTTTGATCTATCATCATCATCAGTTGCCAGGATCTCCACCACTTTTCTGGGCGGAACATGTTCAGGCAGAACTGGGCGGTAATCCTTAAGGAATGTTGGAGCATTGTCATTAATATCCTGTACGATCACAGTCAGAGTGGCTGTGGCCGTCTTGGGTGGAACGCCATCATCAATGGCAAGCACTTTCACCTGAAAGGGAAAAGCACGAGACAGAAGTTAACCACAAGCCAAATGTTGGTTCATGTTAGAGTTAAATACTAAGAGGCTTGGAGGTGATTTATGACAAGGTTGTAAGTATGCAAAGAAATATCTTACTGTCTATAAGTCAGTACAGAAACACGGGACCCACACAAATAAGGAAGGTTTCTGAGTAAAAATAAGTAAGAATGTAAAAAAGGGGGAGGGGCAATTTCGGTTTACCCCAAAGTGATGTTGGCAATAATGAAAAGATGGTTGGGTATAAAGGAATCTTCTTTCAACTGCACCTACTCAATTTTCATCATCTTTGAGCAGTGGTAATTCCACTATTTTAACCATCTCAAGAGTGAAATTAAAAGGGCATAAAGATACTGTTAGAATGACTTATTCTTTCTTTTTTACACTAAGTTTAGAAACTTCTGATCCAAAGACCTGAAGCACATTTAGACTCTACAGGATGCAGAAAGTGGGAAATACACGGGAACATTCATATTCCCCTAACATTTCTAATTCAAAGCCACCAATATATTCACACTCACAAAACAGACTGCGCCATTGATAGAACACATCAAAGATGATCTGTGATCTTAATTTTGTGGTCACAGGGTATATAAACTTGAGAACTTTATAGATACTGCCACTGTTAAAACCATCAACAACACAAAATCTGAAATTCTTCAATATCCTCCATACAGTACTGACTTAGTGCCATTCAGTTTTAACCTTTCTGAGCCAAAAGCATTACAAGGTTCAGAAATCTTCAGTCATAATGGATTAGAAGAAGTGATCTAAAATTGGCTGAAGATCTGAATAAATATTTTATCTGATGGAATCAAGAGACTTGCGGATGGTTAGATAAAAGGTATTCAAAAGGAGGCAGATTGCATAGAAATGCTTAAGTACTGTGTGTTTGTTTTGTCTAAATTTAAACAGAATTACCTTTACTTTTTCATGTACCTTCATAGTTCAGTGGTGAAGGGACATATATTTTGTTTTAGTTTATTTAACAACACAATGAGAAATCCAGGTTATCTGGATGAGAGTGAACAATGAAATGGAGAAGTGGACGAAAGTTGTTGTGACTACCTTGGCATTTTCCTGCAGGGGCTGAGAACACCCAGAAAAAACCTCAGTCACTGTTCTGGCTGAGATTCAAAATGGGCTCCTCCAGAATACCGGTCAGGAGCATCATTGCTTGAACCAACTTGCTTGGTGAAGGGATATTTGAATAATGACAATAACCAACCTGATGTCGAGGTGTCTCTTCTCGGTCCAGGTTACGCTGGATAGAGACTGTTCCTTCCTGACTGATAGAGAACTGGCGCTTTCGATCTGAAGTGCGATCAATGGCATATTTCACTTTGCTCTTGCCTCCCTGGTCTGGATCCGTTGCCTTGAAGGTTTCCAGATTCTTATCTACTTCTGCATTTTCATACACTGACACCTCTATATTAGGGCGCTCAAACTGTGGTTTGTTATCATTGATATCTCGCAGCTTCACTACCACCCATGAATAGGCAACATGGTACTTGTCGTTGTCATTGTCTTCACCCTGAAAGTAAGTGGAATCCCTCTTAAATATTAACAACACACATAACAATATACAACAGGACCGTGTAACGGAAATCTAAAATGGACTGGCAGTCAAAGTCACAGACCAAGTAACTAGCTAATCAATGCTGCAGTAGTAGAAGCAGAAGTTTCAACATCACTAAAATCTAAGCCTGCTACACAACATGAGAGACAGTCAGTTGAATCCACCTTGAGTCCTCACAATCAAGCTCCCTAGATAAGTCATAATGACATCCTCCAATCTCAATCTTCCTGATCCAAGTGAGAAAATTCCTTCTTTTTTCACAAGAATTCTGTACACATTCCTTGTCTCTTCCACCATACTTACAATCTCAGCCCATCATAGCTTCTTAGATTTCAGCATTCTGACAATAACAAGTGACCTACCTAAATTATGACGTTACTCATTATGTAACAATGCACTGCAATTTGAAGAACAAATTTGATTTTATTCTGGTAATTACTTACATCTTATACATAACTGTCCTTGTACTGACACACATCACTTCTCTGAACTTCAGAATATATCCTGTTATAAAGTTACTTGAAAATCTGTGGTTACATAATCTGTGATGATGGCTTGTCTACTGGATGCAGACGGCTATGCTTCCTTTGACTATCTCTGTGGTATTTCAATTCAATTCAATTCAATTTATTTACATTCCGTAAAATCCAGATACAGGTAGACACCATAGGATATGGAACAAGTCAAATACAGTGATTCTGCACAATAACAATCTAATCAAAAAATTAATAAGAATACAAATTACATAAATATAAGTTAAATGTCCTTCAATTTGAGACTGTTAGCAGGAACGGTGTCAATGAGTACATCGCTAATAAGTAATAAGATTATATGTGATGCTATATAGTTCGGTAGACACGTATCAACATTTTGGGGGAAACTGATGCTTCCATCTTCAAGGTAAATTCTCTTCTATGATGAAGATGGAGGCAGCAGGTTCATCTGAAACACTGGTATGTATCTACCAAAATATGATGCATTATGTCCCAGAACAAAATAATCTTCATGGTCACTACTCTGAGAACTTCAAATAACACATGATAGCACTTTATGCCCTCTAATCATTCAAGCATTGCTCCATAATTATAACATCTTTCATCTCCATCTTGAATTACTCAAGAAATTATTAAGTATAATAAGTATAAATTATAAAGTATAAATTATAAAATTATAAAGTATATAAGTATAATAAGTATAAATTATAAAGTATTAAGCAATACAATCTCATCATTAATGACCATACTGCCATACTTTATGTTGGAATAAAAGAGTCTGTATTAAATTAATATGTAGCTAAACAGTTGATCAGACATTACAATGGTACTTATCATTGCAATGGTTCCTGTGCTTTTCTTATTGGGTGAGAAAGGGGAAAGTAACTGGTTTGAACTTCAGTCCATTCTTGTTACAGCAAAATTAACAAATTTTCCCAGTATTCCTTCCTACAATGAACAACTTTCGCATTTGTTCTTATTAGGCATCATTATTAGTTTCTGAGACACAGAGTGTGACAGATAGACAGACAGATATCATAAGCTAAATACATACCAAATTATTCACTTCATCCCTGTTAGGTCCATATATTTTCATAATAACTTTGTTTTTGAACACTTATAATTTATGTTCTTCCCTAAAGAAAGAGACCACATTTCAAAACCCTACCCAGAAAATTACTGTTCTGCATGGCTATAACCTAACCTTTTGATTTGTGGAAAACAGACGGGATGATAACAGTCTTTGAGCCGAACAATAAGCACTTCAGAATTTATTCTCCTTTTAACTTCATCATGAAATTAATTTCTATTCATTACCATTCTTTCCATTCCACACACTTTTTAAAATTCTCAAATGATGTTACACAGAATCATACCATTACTTTGTTGCTGTTGTCTGTGTGATGTTCACACACTTTGTTATATATTTCTCCAAATACCATTAGTTAAAGTCAAATACTGAATAATTCTGCACATACACTTTGAAATAATGTGTAATTATGTGTCTGTATTCATCACTGAATACTGTAAGAAAAAAACAACTCAAGATGTTGCATGCATCATGAAAACAAGAAATTAATATAAAATTAAAGTTACAAAATCTCAAGGGAAGGAAACAGTTTTGAAGGACCCAGGCAAACATGGGAGAGCAATACTGATCATAGCAGATTTACTTACGTCCTTCCTTATGGAGCTGAGCCCTTCTTGAGGAGAAGCCAAATCTGCAGCTACTCAAGAATTTCCCAGGATTTTATGGAACCCCAAGGTTCATTATCATGTTCATAAGAGCCCCTCACTGGTCCCTATCCTGAGCCAGATCAATCCACTCCATCCCATCCCATCCCATCCTATCTCTCTAAGATCCATTTTAATATTGTCCACCCACCTACACCTTGGTCTTCTCAGTGGTCTCTTTCCTTCTGGCTTTCCCACCAATATCGTAGCAGACTAGGATGTTAAAATGTGAACTTGGCCAAAATGGTGTCCTATGGCAGGCTTTTTTGAACCACATGAGTTTCTATGTTCCACAACAGAAAATATTTTTTACCAGCTCAATGGTTATAACTTTTACAAAGAAATCCCTGCATCATGAGGTCAGTTATAATTCTGAGTGAGAGTAACGCGTGGTTGAGGAACTAAACCTACTATTGCCACTAGGCATGTGTAAGTATAATATCCAGAACTGAATCAAGAAAAGTAATATCTCAATCTCAATTTTAACACTGATTTTCAGTCTTGCACCACAAGAATTTTAAGATAATCACTTTCACTTTATACAGCATCATGCAAGTTCCCCATCTGTCAGGATCATAATGGCTGACAATACTAGCACAAATGAACTTGCCAACAAAATCTGCCTCTCTGTCTCTTTCTGCCAGCACTGTATCTTCCTCTATTTTTGTATGAATCATCAGCATGTGATATCAAAACAGATAAGAAATACATTTTGATGACTTGCAAAAAGTAGTTAATGTTATAACCTGTGATTATAGAGAAAACTGGTCAAGAATTCTCATCTTTAACCTGAACAACAGTTTTCATACATGTCCAACTGCCACACTGGCAGGCTGTATTTATTTTAAAATCGCCTGAGACTATGTAGTTGATGCAATACTTTTGTAATGATATATTCATGAAGCCAATGGATGGCGGTTAGTGTCATATATTGATCTGAAGAAGAAAGTTGAGAATTTCACTGAGGGGGATATATCTTTGTTAAACTGGCTTGTGGAAGAAATATGAGATTTGTAAAACAACAACAGTAGAAGAAAGTACAGTGCGCTCCTGGAATAATGTCTTTGTTGCCTTTAAAAATAACTTAAATGCTAGAAAACTACAGTCTGACAGTAAATGTGATGATAATTTTTAGAGTGACAAAGACATAATAGCTGCAACACAATAATCTCATAAAAAAGTCTAGCATATTCTGTGAAAAAAATAAAAGGAAGTCTAGTAATATCACTGATGGCCAGGAGGAGATTCTAAGCAAGTACAGAAACCTTGATTATTTCATATACTGCATTTTACTGCACAGTTTCTTACAATGATCCATATTAATTTAGTTCATAGCTGAAATATGTGTATATTTTTTTTACCTAGCAACATCCTCCAAAATTTGAAACAAAAGATATTAAATAAATAAGTTTGCATACATAAATAAACATGTCCTCATTTTTTAACACTTCACATTTTAAATAAAGTTTTCAAAACATTCAGGCTTCATTGGGACCTGCTTTCATGCTGGGGCTTGGCAGTATAAATGTTAACACTCACTTTGTCATTGACCTGTATCCTAAACCTGAAGCCATTACTTTGGAGCTGGTCTTCATAATCCAGGGGTTGAACAATTTTCAGCGAGCCTGTCCCATCACCGTTTCTTACCATGGTGAATTTGTCAGCACCATATCCACTGTTCTCTATCACCTGACGGAAAGAACAGTTTCATTACCTATATAATGTAATGTTCAGGGATACGATGACTTATACAATTATTCAGAATTTCTCCTTGAATAATTTACCAAATGTCTCAACTGTTCAGTAGCTTTTTTATTGCATCTAATATTAAAACTAATGATGTTGACACACATAATATCTTCATTTAATATCACATTTAGAAAAGTTTCATAACAATATAATTCTGCTAGTTTCTATAGATTTCCCAGAGGCAAATAATTCTAAAGTATGCACATTGTTTATTAACTTTAGTTTGGTAATCATGAAGCTGTTTTTCTATTGGGCAAAACTGGAATTTTATATGTATAAACATGATATATTATCCAAATAAGTGAAATCCTATTGTATAAAAATCACTGAAATAATTGAAACCTGAAAGGGTTATAGGGACACTTTTCAAATTTAAATTGTGCTTGTTTGACACTACATAAATTAGAGAACTATGATCATCACAAATGAAAGCTCCCATTTCAGACAGCCATTTTTAATGCTGAAACATTTTATTACTTATCATCTTGAAAACTGGACCAAAATCAAGAAGTACACATTTTATTTCTTCATAAAAATTTGTTTTACATTCAGCATCTCCAATACTTTGTCACAGTCTTCAGGCACTACATTCATAAAATCCTCTACAGACTTATTCACAATCCAATGAACTTTCAACAATGGAAGGGAGAAGTAGAAGTAAAAATTAAGAACAGCAGAATCCAGAAGTCTGAAGATACCCACTATTACATACATACATACATACATA